AGAGCAGCACGAACAACAGGCTCAGACGCATCGATGCGGGCCTGCACTGCCTCCTGCATTGGATCTGGAAGTGCCTCAGGGGAGGAAGCTCGTGCCCAGTCCTCCATTAAAGAGCAGGCAAGGGAGGCGGGGTCAGGGTGGGGAGGAGGCCTCCGTCGAGTACCCCGTATAGCATTAATCCGATTCCATACATAAGAGGGTGACGACTGGAACGATAGAGACCCCGTGAAGGATAGCCAGTCCGCCTCACGTATCCGACGGCGCTCCTGAGTTGCAAAGGAGCACCAATTTTTGAAGTCTTCCCAGTCCTCTGGAGACCGAGACCTCCGTATGGCAGAGTGGAGATCACGGGTTACCTGCCGGAGATGTCTCATGGCAGGGATACGATACCAGTAGTTGGTGGCACTTCTGGGGTGACGGGGAGGGCGTGGAGGGGTAGCGCGATTGACAGAGTCATACACGGCATCAACAAAATCAGCGCTGTAAGAGTCAAGGGACTGGGGACAACATAGGAATCCGCCCAGGTAGAAAGGTATTGGGTAAAGGAAGGAACAGCATCTTGTGTGAGACGAAGGCGAGGGGATCGATAAGGAGCTGATGTCGGGGCAGAGAAGGAGAGCCTGAGATGGGTAGTAACGGCAAGATGGTCACTATACAGAGCAGGCTCGGTGCAGACGGTAGGATGAAAGGAGGTATGACCGTTCAATAGTAAGCCAACATCAAGGAAACTATGGGGGAGGCGAGTAGGATCGTCAGGACAAAGAAAGCGAACATCATCATCCCCATTAAGAAACTGTGAGAGATGTGATCCGTTAAGGGTACATGGAGTGGGATGATCCGGAGTAAGAGTGGGATGGCGGGCATTAAAGTCGCCAAGAACAATAGTGGGAACCCCATCATGGAGGTCGTGAAGAACCTGGGGGTCCAGAGAATCACTCTTGAAATGAACATTGACTACACGAAGGGTCCGGTCACCAAGAGTAAGGGAGACAGAAAGTAATTCAGACGGGGGTCCATGTGAGTCAGGTGAAGGGAGACGAACAGATGGAATGGTGTTACGCACAAGGGTGAGGAGGCCACGAGCCTGCCCACGGTACCGAGGCAGGGTGTAAACAGTATAGCCAGAGAGGCGGAGTGGAGTAACATCGTCTGTGATGGTTTCCTGAAGTAGAGCAACATCTACTTGATGGGAGAGCACAAACTGGGCGAGGTCTGTCCGGCGAGGTCTAAGTCCCTGGATGTTCCATTGTAAGAAGAGGAGGGAACGGCCTCCGGTGTGAGATGAGTCGGAGGGGCTAGACAGGGCTCCAGAGGAGGTACCAAATTCTGTTGAGAGAAATGGAGAGGGAGGAGTGGGAGAGCGAGGGATGGATCCTCCATCTCGGGAGATGGAAGGAGGCGGGTCATCAGGGCTTGCAAAGTGCGCCCCTGTTGGGTCAGGGTGTCCAGAATGAGTTGTTGTTGCTTCTGCAATGTCGCAATTGTTTTCACAAACAAGTCGAGTTGGGCTGAGAGAAGGTTGATTTGCTTGGAGTGGCGATCCAGACGGAGAGTGATTGTTTCCATAGAACCAACTTGGTGTACCTGTGCAGGAGCTGGAGGTGGCAGCGAGGATTGCCGAGGGCCCGACTGGGCATGTGGTGGTGGTAGCGACGGAGAGGGACGGTGAGGGTTCAGTTGAGTAAGAGGTGGTGGTGCTGGTGAGAGACAGCGGGGGTCCGGGTGGGCAGGAGATGGTGGTGACTGTGTGGCAGGGCCGGCAACGACCTTGTTCCAAGAACGGTAGGGAGAGGGAGGGAGGGGAGAAAGGATGGGTGGTAGGGGTGATGGAGGGGGTGGTAGAGGAGAGGAGATCAATGGGAAATCCTTGGTGGATGGAAGAGGCGGTGGTGGATAGGATTGAGGTTTGGTTGACAGGGGCTTCGTCAGAGACGAGGGCGGTGGTACAAGGTAAGTTTTCCCCGGGCGAGTGCCAGGACGCTGTGGGCAATTGGCATTCCAGGCGTGGTGACTGCCATGGCAATTGACGCACCGTGGAATAACTGGGATTTTGTTCTGAATTTTCGATTTGCATTCCACTGTGTCGTGAGGACCTGCACAGAAACCGCAGGCGACCATCCTCGTGCACTCCCAGGTGCGGTGTTTCCACGATTGGCAACGACCACAGATTTTCGGGGTTCCGATAAATCGGTCGAGAGGACAGTTGTGAATTGGTCCTACATTCACCTTCGGGGGGAGGGGGCCCACCCACCAGCCGATGAGTTCGTTGGATGGACGTTTGGAGACCGGGTTGATGCGGCGTTCCATGTCCAGTAGTTGTGGGAGAAGAGGGCGAAGATCGTCGATAGGGATCTCCCAGGGTACGTGGCGAACCATTACCTTGGTACGACGAGTTTCTGGGGTGATGATGGTGAACTTCAGCATCACCTCCCCCTGGGGAGCAGGAAAGCCCACCTGAGTGAGCAGGCGTACCGTCTCGTCCATTTGTGTGGTGACTATCACGGCTGTGGGACCTCGGCGGAGGCGAAGTGTTGAGTCCTGAAGTGGAGAGCAGTGACGGAAGAACCAGGTCGTCCGTGTGCTCAGAGGCAAGTCCCGAGGGAAGGCGAGACGACGAAGGCGCGACGGGGCAGGGAGACAAAGGGAATCCCCTATGTCCATCGTCGGCGGAGGGTCGGTCATTGAGCCACATGTAGGCTCACTTGGGGACCCCGATGACAGGAGTCCACCCTCTACAGCCCCAGAAGGGGTGCAAGGGGGAGCCGTGGCCCCTGCTGGAGACCCTGACTTCTGAGGTTTCTGCTTCTTCTTTGACGTGTCTTCAAGAAGAAAGTCGTCAGCATCACTGTCACCTACTGCCGCCGTTTCCAACTAACGGGAGCGTTTAACGGCGGGCATAGGGCACGTTGGCAACACTGCAGTCAGGTGGAGTGGTAATGACGTCACTGCTACGTCACACTATCACATTGCGCATGCGCAAATTTGAAAAACTTTGCTCAGAGGGATCGGGTGGTAGGACCAGATGTTTTATCCCCAAAAATGACAAAGTCCAAAAGTAACAAAAATATATATGCCACTGTGCTGATAACTGGGTCTTACTATAGTTGTCTGCACAGGCTGGGATTGGTAGACTCGCTGAATTCGTCAGAAATACGAATTTTAAGGAGCAGTCTCTTACAGCCTTTGTTGACACTACGCACGCATGCGCGTTGTGGCAGATTAATATTGTAGTTTTCTCCTCTATCTTTTGTAATTTCTATTGCCCGCCCCCCCCTCCCAGGCCCCGTTGTGAGTCGATGACTTGTGTCCGGTTGGGCTATTCCCAAAAGAAAATAGGTTAGTTAAGGTTGGTTAGGCTAGTTTAGGTTAAATCAAGGTACTCTAGGTAGTGGGTAAGATTCGGTTATATTAGGTTTATAAATTTAAGTTAGGTTAGAGCAGGCTAGGTTAGGTAAAATTGAGTTAAGTTCGGTAGAGTTTGCTTAGGTTAAGTTAGGTTAGGTTAGTTTTGGTTAGGTTAGATTAGTGTATGGTAAGTTAAGTTAGGTTAAGTTATTTTAGGTCAAGTTAGGTCAGCTTAGGTTTGGTTAAGTTAGTTTAGACGAAAGGTGGTTAGTTTAGATTAGGTTAGGTTAGGTGAGGTTATGTTAAGATAATATAATGTTATCCTCTATTTTACATTATAACTATAATAAATTGCAAGTGCATAATAATAATAATAATAATAATAATAATAATAATAATAATAATAATAATAATAATAATAATAATAATAATAATAATAATAATAATAATAATAATAATAATAATAATAAATTAGTTATTATTTACAGTATAGTCGACTTAATTTTTTTACCAAAAACATAAAGTTACATAACTTAATGTAATGCAACCTAACCAAAGCTAACCTAACCAAACTTAATTAGGCCTATACTTCCTGCTCTACCCTAACCTAAACTAACCTTACGTAAACTGAACTAAACTAACCAACGATAACCTAGCCTGACCTAACCTGACCTAATCTTAGCTGAACCTAGCATGACCTAACTTATCCTGCTTAAGCTGACCTACTTTAACCTAACCTAACCTAACCTAACCAATATACAACACAAGAGAGGGAAGAGAATAAAATGAGTCGCTCCATCAGTTACTCAGTAGGCTACAGCATAGAGCTGCCTGATGCATATGTATGAGATTGAAGTCGACAGTTCAGAACGTTTGTTAGATAGATGAAAAAAGAAAAAATAGACCAACTAAAGAAAACACAAAAGACTAGATATAAAAACAAACAAAAAATAATCTCGATGGATACTCTAGCAGTCTACACACACACACACACACACACACACACACACACACACACACACACACACACACACACACACACACACACACACACAAATATTTGGCAACTAGACTTAGACAGGACTATATATAAACGAGGAAATTAATTTCAGTAGCTCATTGTAACATGATTGGCAACGGGGGGCGGGAGACGGTAATGGGAAATTGAAACTAATTCATCGAAATTATCATTGTTGTAGGTGAGTATTGGAGGGGGGGTGGGGGTGGCCAAGACAACAATGATGGAAATAATTAATTGTCAGAAGCTGTTTAGTGATTTGTTAAGGATGAAGTGATATAGCAATTATTAGTAAGGAGATTAGGGTATATTTTACACGCTTTAGGTTAGGTTAGGTTAGGTTAGGTTATGTTAGGTTAGGTTAGATTAGGTTAGGTTAGGTTAGGTTAGGTTAGGTTAGGTTAGGTTAGGTTGAAGAAGGTTAGATTAGGCTACGGTAGGATGATTAATCTTAAGGTGAAATGAGTTGGGGTGTCTAATCTTCAGGTGGCCCAATAGCTAAATGGAACTGTTGCTTAAGGTGATGTAAATATACAGAATTATTACCGAGACAGGTGAGTCCCCCCCCCCCAGCAAACAACACCTTTAGTCTATACGATAACCATATTGCTGTAGGTAACAAGCTAAGGCAATTAACCTGTTGTTGGTGTGGTGTGTGGTGGCCGAGTGGGTACAGCGTTCTCCTCCTGTCCAAAGGGTAGCTATTTCTCGCCCAGGATACCCGCAGTTCACCCAGCTGTGAATAGGTTCCTGACTTTACAGGGGTCATTTGAACAAGACACCCTAGTTTATTTCACCTTCAACTTAATCTTATCTAACCTAACTTAGATTAACTTAGCCTAACTTAATCTTATCTATATCTAGCCTAATCTAACATAACGTAATGTAACTTAGCACTAACATAATTTAACATAAGCTAACACTAACATAATCTAGCATAACACAAACATAATTTTACATAACACTAACATAATCTAACATAACACTAACATAATCTAACATAACACTAACATGCTCTAACATAACACTAACATAATCTAACATAACACTAACATGCTCTAACATAACACTAACATAATCTAGCATAACACAAACACAATTTTACATAACACTAACATAATCTAACATAACACTAACATAATCTAACATAACACTAACATGCTCTAACATAACACTAACATAATCTAACATAACACTAACATGCTCTAACATAACACTAACATAATCTAACATAACACTAACATAATCTAACATAACACAAACATAATCTAACATAACACTAACATAATCTAACATAACACTAACATAATCTAACATAACACCAACATAATCATCTAACATAACACTAACATAACACTAACATAATCTATAACACTAACATAATCTAACACTAACATAACTAACATAACACATAATCTAACATAACACTAACATAATAACTAACATAACACCAATATAATCTAACATAACACTAACATAATCTAACATAACACTAACATAATCTAACATAACACTAACATAATCTAATCTAAATATAACACTAATCACTAACATAATCTAACATAACACTAACATAATCTAACATTACACTAACATAATCTAACATTACACTAACATAATCTAACATAACACTAACATAATCTAACATAACACTAACATAATCTAACATAACATTAACATAATCTAACATAACACTAACATGTTCTAACATAACACTAACATAATCTAACATAACACTAACATAATCTAACATAACACTAACATAATCTAACATAACACTAACATAATCTAACATAACACTAATATAATCTAACATAACACTAACATAATCTAACATAACACTAACATAATCTAACAACACTAACATGCTCTAACATAACACTAACATAATCTAACATAACACTAACATAATCTAACATAACACAAACATAATCTAACATAACACTAACATAATCTAACATAACACAAACATAATCTAACATAACACTAACATAATCTAACCTAACACTAACATAATCTAACATAACACTAACATAATCTAACATAACACTAACATGCTCTAACATAACACTAACATAATCTAACATAACACTAACATAATCTAACATAACACTAACATAATCTAACATAACACTAACATAATCTAACATGTGACGACAACCGCCACTACAAAGAATATCAATCCCTGACTCGATCTCAACAGCTTATATACATGAGACTGCGCCTAGGGTACAGGTACCTATGGGAGTACATTGGCAACCCTGAGCCTGGCCGCACTGTTTGTAAGCTTTGTGGCCAACCCGACTCTCACACCCTCTCTCACTACATCCTCACTTGCCCTATAACCTCCTCCTATAGGTCCCCAGCCGTTACCAACACCTCTTCCCTCCCAGACCAGATATCCCTCCTCCTAGTCACAGGCCTGGCATTTGACATTATTAGGGACCTGCCACTCTTTGCCATAAACAGATGAAATGTACCGGGAACTTTCCCCCCACACACTCATCATTCTCTCACTTTATGTAACTTGACAAAACCTATGACCCTTCAGGCTTTTACGCCCTTAATGTACGAGTCATAAAGGCAAGTATGAACTTTTCATACTTCCCTGTTGGGCGCTGTAAACGCTTCTGCGCTTCACCTTGCACAGGATGTAGGGGGGTGCCCAATAAACTAGCCCCCTCGGGGGCAAATCTGAATCTGATAATCTAACATAACACTAACATAATCTAACATAACACTAACATAATCTAACATAACACTAACATAATCTAACATAACACTAACATAATCTAACATAACACTAACATGCTCTAACACAACACTACTGTAGTCTTACAAAACATAACGCTAATATAACCTAACACTAACATAACCTAACCTAACCCCATCCAACCTACCCTAGGTTACGTTAGGGTGCTTAATCATCAGGTGAAGTCAGCTGGTAGGGGTAACCTTCTGATGATCCCTTTACAGTTGGGGAAATGGAGGTGGTCGAGTACAGTGCCGGCCATGTTGTACTGTATCCACACTACCCGTAACAGGACGTCAAGTTATGTACAGTAGTCAATCTTTTTTATACATATTTTTTAGGTTAACTGATAAATCTTTTTCATTATTCTATCTATCTATCTATCTATCTATCTATCTAAAGAAACAGTAACTCGTCCAAAGTAATAATAATGGTTAAGGCTCGTATCCCGCCCCATAACAACTCTTCATCACACACGGGAGGTTTAATTTACCTTATTTCTGCACCGCCTTTTGGCCTGGTCGTGTGTCTCTGTGTGGCAGATCCTCTAAAAGTTAAGATCAAAGGCCGTGTATATGGGATTTCCGGCAACGTTGCCCCCCACGATCCCATTACGCCATGATTATGAAGCTGATTGGCCGTGCAGTCCCGAGTGTGTGTGGGTCACGGCGGCCGTCCTCCCTCCCTCTATCCCCTCCTCTCATCACACCCCGCCACAACTATTTCGAATAAAAACCCGCCATTTATTGATTTAGATTCATATTAGATTGTATATTTATATTAGATATCGCGTTTTTCTTTTTCTTTTAAATGATAAATTGATTCATGAATTCTAAATTATATTTAGCCCCGGTTAAGTCAGCTCCACACACACACATAGATAGAATAATAATTTTCATCAGAAATACTTCGATGCAATATAGAAAATACCAATGCAATTTACCTAGCCTCTAATTTAATAAGTGTCAGCGAGATATGAAAGGTTCCCGCAATGAACACTCTTATCAAAATGACAAATCCACCCTGGGAAGAGAGACGGGTGGGTGGGCGGCTCTTTCCTCTCCATCTGGTTTCCCGCCAAAAGCCAGAAGCCAAAGGAGTGACGATCGTGGCCGCGTTTAACTTCACAAAGCGGACTGACAGCTCCTTACTACTCAAGTTTTCTATTCTCACATAATTAATTTCCGTAGTATTGTGTGTCTTGAATAATAAATTAAACCATCGTCCTTTTATCCAGCCATATTTACCAGGTACTGTACTAGAATATTTTGACGGTGAAATTGGGTGAATATTTTTAGGGCCAGAGTCTAGAATTGCCGCGCTAAATGTTGACATGTGCTCACAATTCTTTATTTCACTTCTGTTCGATTTTGTGTGATTGTGTGGTCATTTAAGTGTATGCCCGTGTCACTGTGTGTACGTTTGTGTGTGCAGGTGTGTGTTTGTGTATGTAAATACACGTGTGTATATTTTTTCTACTCATAATTCGATTCCTCCGACCCACACCTCAGTGACCCTGAGATTTTGCTGTTCCTTGATCACTATCAATATTCCTACACGGATGATGCTAGTGTCGTTCCCTTAGATGATCGTATGTGTTACACCCCCTTCACCCATGGTGTCGACACAATACTACCTCATATTGACCCTGATGCCTTTCTACAAAACTCGCTGAGTTACACCAACCCCAAGTTCAACTATTATTACTTTCCTGACTCTCCCGAGTTTAGTTCTAGTCTCCTACTACCTCATTCCTTCTCCTTAATTAGCCATAACATCAGCAGTATTCCCCTTCACTTAGATACCTTTATAGATCAGTGTATTATGTTGATATCAAGTATAACACTTCTGTAAGAGATGATTTAATGGTTCAGGAGAAGTTCATGGAGAGTGTTTTCACTGAATTACATAACGACAAATGAAATATTCGAGTAGGAGTAATCTACAGAAGACCCCACACTAATGTAAGGAGCTTTCTTGATAAATTTTCGGAGCTTGTCTCTATCATAAGTTCAAAGAGGAAACTTTGTTACATTACAGGAGATTTCAACCTTGATCTATTAAAATCAGAATCCGACACCTCAATATTAGACCTTCTTGCTACCTGCCAGTCTAAACTCTTCTTCAACACAATAACCAAACCCACTAGAGTAACTACCACCTCTGCCACTGTGATAGATCATATCTGGACTAACAACACTCCTAACAACCTCGCAAGTGGAATTATTTACAACAATATCTCAGATCACTTCCTAGTTTTTGCCATGTATAAAACAGCCGCAAGATCTGAAAGGTCTAGTAGAGTCTCAATACAATACAGAGACTACTGCACCGACAACATGCTCCTTTTTTATAACAACCTAATGAATGCTAACTGGGATCTTGTCTATGCCTCCGACAACCCTAACGTGACCTGCTGCAACTTCTCTTACATCTTCAATGCTTGCTTTGATAAATGCCTCCCGCTACAGACTAAGTCAGTGAAAACTGTATCCATTTCCACATCCTATATCACAAGTGAAATTAAGGCAATGATAAAAGAAAAACACAAACTCCAAAGGAAATTTGCTTCCCTAAGTATCAGAAATAGAGTAACTCAAGCAGTCAGAAATGCCAGAAGTAACTATTATACAAATAAGCTCCAGTCAACACCATGCAACAGTAAGAAAACCTGGAGTATCATAAATTCTATTCAGAATAGGAACACCCAACCTCCCCCCCCCACCACTCAGATTCGTGATAAATGATTCAGTTGTAACGGAACCCTCCCTCAATACCAACCACTTCGATTATTTTATTAATGTTGACAAAAATCTTGCAGTGAGCATCCTAATCACCATGAGGAATTCAGAGCCTACCTGCAAATCAGACAAGCAAGATGAGCTGTTCTTATCCCTTTCATAGCGGATGAATTATTGACCATCATAAAAATGTCCAAACATGCAGCAGCAGGCGAAGACACTATACCAATGAGCATCATTAAGAAAGT